TTGTTCTTCTCATTGAGCTGGCTCTTCAGGATCTGCCTGATCCTTTGGTGGTACTTGGATGTTGCTGTCTCCCTTGCTTCCTTTTTGCAAACTTCTATTTACGATTCAACCACCATATCTCTCTCTCCCTCTCCCTCTCCCTCTCCCTCTCTCCCTCCCTCTCTCTCTCTCTCTCTCTCTGTGTGTGTGTGTGTGTGTGTACGATAGGTAGGTAGGATAGATATACACAGAAAAAAGAGAGATGGAGAGGAGGAGGGGGGAGACAGAGAGAGAGCATATTCTCCATGGTTAAGTTCCTAAATACATACAGTACTGTCGGAATTGCGTCTTTCTTCAGGTGTTGACGAAAACTGTTTCCACTGCTATAAATATACATCTCACTAAATTATGATGTTTCTTGTAATTTTTACGAGATTATACCTACTATGAAAAGTTGTAGTTTCATTTCAGATTAAAATTGCAAGGTTTTCTACATTATACCGTGTATGCCATTCTAGTTCATTGCTATTTTTTTACACGCCTACCATAAATGATAAAACATTCCTTCTGTTTCGTGAGACGCCATGACAGTTGATGAATTTAGTGCTGTGTTTTAAAACATTTTTCAAATGGGATGGGGTTGCATGCCCCCATTTTTAGTGGACTGGAGAATTCTTAACATTTTTGAGTCTGGAGTAGTTTCCTTTGTTTATCTTTCCTTCTTTTTCTTTCTTTCCTTTATATTTCTCTTACTTTGTTCACTTTTTCCTTTCCTTTTCCTTTTTTAATTTCTCCCTCTTCCTTTCCATTGTTTTTCTTTTTTTGCTAAGTATTAAAAGCGTTAGAAATATTCATTAGGTCACTTGCACACCATAGAGTCTCTCTCTAAAGGCACCCTGGCACTTTTACATCACACTGTTTCCACTCCCAGATTCATATGAAGAGTTTTGAAGATGGCTATAATTTTTTTTTCACTCCTGTTAGCCTCAGAACACTAAAATGAGCCAGGCAACACCATGATGCAATCAATGCTGCCTCCCACTGACCAAAAATAATAAAAATAATTTTGCTCCCATCCCAAATATATATTGTAGCCCTCTTTGCTATCCACAATATTTTCCTTAATGCTGGGTGCATTTGTCTCACTTTTACCAAAAACCAAAAAAAAAAACCAAACCCCAAAACCAAAATGAACTTCCGAATTCTTGGTATAAGTGGATAGCTTCTTCACCATTAAGCCATTATTTTTCCTCTACAGAAATTCTCATTTAAAATTGTTGTATATAACATTTTAGTTTTGCAGCTGATTGGTGTCCTGACCACGGCTCTCCATGACAGTGTACAGCCTCTTTCTGAAGGGGGGGGGGGAAATAATAGCATATTGGAGCCCAGAGATCAATAAGTGGAATGAGGCAAGATTTTAGTGCATGTTGTTTATATAAATGAAGAAAATCAAGGTAAGTGCTTTTTACAGGAATTGTGAACCTGATTAGCAACTGACTAGAAGATTAATTTCAGGCACTCTCATAAATTGTCTGGGAAATCTACCATAGAGATTGAAGTTGGCTGGCGAGAGGCAGGGTAAACAAGAGTTCCTGTAAATTAGTAAATGATCTGCCCTCAAGGGATAACTATTGTGTATGAAACCATGTCACAAATACTGTTGTTTTTTTTATTGTTTTGGTATAGTTCTGCAAAAGGACATAACCTCTTTATCTATTTTACTTGCTTTTCTTTCTCCCTGACCAGTTTAGATTTTACAGGAAAATAAGTTTCCAAGTTGTCAGAAAAAGAAAAAACCCTGAGAACTTGATATATAACAACAGGTTTAAATACCTAAAGCAAGTTAACTATAGACTGTCTTGAGGGGCAAGAAACAGAACCAAAATGTCTGCCTAGAGAGTCAGCTACTGTCATGTGCACATGCAGATGAATGTAGTTGAAAAAGAATGTAAAATGCAAATTGTTATACATAACAATGTATTTTAAAAAAGCAATAGGAAGTATGGGTTGAAATAAGAAGGATGTCCAATCCTAAAGGTTTGAAGGAGTAACATATTCAGAAGAAGACAATCAACCTTCAGCGATAAATGAGCTCAATTAGTTTCATGAGACTTATCCTATCCCAGAAAAATCAATGAAGTACAGTGAGTAATGAGAACACCAAATATAGAAAGCAAGACACTCCTTTTTACAATCAATTTTAAAGCTATTCCCCATGTCCTACTCTCTTTCCTCTTCCTTTAGATTAGGAAGAATGCTTCAAAGTTGAAATGCTCAATTTTATGATTATTTTTCTGAGGCTTTTAAGATAAAAAAAACCCACCCTAAACTCTAGCCTGATTGTTAAACTCATGCTATAACTTACTCAAGAAACTAAAAAGGTTTGTGGCTTGAATTTTGTGACTCAGTCATGGTGACAAGAATGGAGTGGTTGATTGAATGACCTGTGCATGATATATTGGGCCAAATTGCAAATATCCTAGAAATAAATTTAGCAGAGATAGCCAAACAAGTACAGGGGTTTGGGAATCAGCCTGCCTGATGAAATGCTCATGTTTCATTGGGCACAAAATTTTATATACACATCCTCTGGCTTCCTTGGGTCAATTTTAATACCAATGTACCTGAAAGATGGAGTTTACATAGAGATCAGCCTGCTAACTGTAGGAGAGACCTAGAGATATACTGTATTCCTGGTACTGAGTTAATGGACAAATCCTAGCACAGGACACACAAAGAACTAGATGAGTGGAAAGGTGTATGTGTACCCCTGAAGTCCAATTGGAACCAACAGAAGCAGCACAATGCTGCAGCATTATAAATTGCAAAATTGAAACCTAATTTAAAATAACTGCATTTGCACCAGAAGGAAAATAATTTAACTGTTCCCGTAAGGTGTTGAATGCTGGTGAAAATGCATCAGCAAAGCTGGTAGATGTAAATTTTCCATGGGAAGACCTCCCAGATCAAAATATGGCTTCCTTCAAAGAGCAGAACTGAGAATCGAGGAAATCACCAGGAAATCGAGGCAGGGACCCTGTGCCTCCAATGGCAATCTGTAAGACAGGAGGGAGTAGTGCGATGGCGGCAGTGCCGGAAAGGTAATCCGGAGTAGCCAGCAGACACACGAGCAGTTCCTAACCATGCTCCAACGGGTGGCGTTCCTAGGACAAACCTAGGGCTAGTCAGCACCTCCGCCCCTTCTCTGCCCTGGAGACCCAGGGAGTGACGGCCCAAGCTCAAGGAGTGATGTTGCGCCGTTCTTCGTCCCTGGAGAACCAGGGACTGGTGGCAGACTTGCCACTAATAGCACTCTCCAACGAGTCCAGGCGACTCTGAAAGGACGTGCTGCAGCAGCGTTTAAATGTGGCGGCGGTTGCACTGTCAGATGCCTAGAATAACGGGCAGCCTGCCAATCCGCTCTGAGAGAATGCCACGAAATTAGGGCCACCGATGACCGTGGGGCCTGAAAAACAGTGCTGAGGCATCACACCGTCTCTAGCTAAACCAAAAGGAGAGGAAAAAATCTTATGTGTATTGGCAAGTATAGTCCAGGAATGAGTGTAGAAACAGCCTTCTCCAAATAAACGTCTCTCTCGGGCCAACTGATTTGAAAACTGGGCCCGAGAGAGAGGCAGCAGGGTGTGGCTAAAAAGATTATGACTCAGTCTCTGGGCAGATCCAATTCAACCCATTCCTGGACTATTCTGCAGCTTCACTGGAAAAAGTGTCTACTTCCTGCAAGTTTATTAAAGCAGATTCTGCCCTTTAACTGCTCCCTTTGAAAAAAGACCCATTCTAGGGGTGATTGGCCTCAAATGAAGTTAGGACCATTGCACTGTAGCAGCAGTTTAAAAACAGATGGGGGAAGAAAGAAAAAGAGATAAGAAGAAATCTACAGATAATGTGACAACAAAAATATGAAATCAGTTTGGCCCAGTACAACAGGAAGAGACATCCAGCAAGAAGGCAAGAGATGGCTCAAACCACAGCAACAACCTACTGTAACAACAGTAAAATATGTATTTTTATAAAAGTATAAATTATGAAAATTTTTAAGCATGAAAACTTTAATTCAGTACTCATTTTGCATCATCATTGTTGTTTTTGTTGTTGTTGTTGTTGTTGTTGTTGTTGTTGTTATTATTATTATTATTATTATTATTATTATTATTTAATCTTTAGTGAGATTCACAGCCTTTGAGGCTGGTTAATAGCTCAGCAACTCGAGTCCTAACCAAGGACCTAGGAACTGTTAAGGTATTGCTGGAGGGTGTAAGCTGTTCCGAGTAAGGTGGTTTTTTGTAGATTATTATTATAGTAATAATAATAATAATAATAATAATAATAATAATAATAATAATAATATTTTGTAAACCTAATATCAAATTGTCCTAGAGCACATTTGGGACAACCATGACCTGGATGACTGAGAATCTCCATAGACATCTAACATCAATCCCAAAGTCCCCTTCTGTTCATGAAAAGAATCCCAGAACAAGCTTATTGTCAACAGAGGATTCCATGAACAGAGAAGATCAAGGCACTTCTTGCCAATTTATCTATTTTCTCAAAAGAAGAACCCGTGTCCTTTGGCCTTAATTGTCTGGGGGGGGGGGGGAGAAACATTTTTTTTTTCATTAATGGAGAAAGACAAGATAGGGAACGATGGAAGGCATGGTTTCATCTAGTGCTAACATTCACCTCCTAAATATTATTTTTCAAGGAATATAACACTCAAAGAAAAAAAAAAACCCGCTCCATTGTGCTAGTTTTTGATTTACCAACTAACATTGCATTAAGTCTCCTGGTTCAAAGGGTGTGTGGCACAGTAGAACATTCTGAGTAGCTCAGAGGGACCCGAGACTTAGTGTGTTACACTGTAATACTGGAACAGTACCAATCAAGGTATAGATTCAACCAAACTATTTTTCCCTGTTATTTGTGTATCATTATGCTATTTTAACTTAATGTGTGAAATTTATTGTGATATTTTTTTTTTAAAGTACCATACTCACAATTTATGAAGGTTTTTAAGACCCACAAATATTTCAGGTGTTAAACAACCAATTCTGTTATTGGAAAGATCCCTAGAAGGAAAAAATGAAATAGCATTAAGTTTAATTGTAATTACAATATGAACTCATTTTAATTGTCCCAAATACAGCCTTTAAAGAATCCACACTATAAAACAAATGTATTTATACATTTTATTAGCTCAAATAATATGCCTGCCCATCTCGTGAATGCAACTCTGGGGAACTAAAAGCACATTAAAACAACATAACACAAATGTCACAGAATTAAAAAAAACAAGAACGGTTACCAAGAATGAACCCAACAAGACAGTAGCACAAACTTCTCAAAGAGAAATCTGATCTCCATCCATACACAAGGCAGAGAGAATCAGGGCCCCTCTGATATCAGGCAGATAGTGTTTCAGTGGACAGCCACTGAATCAGAAAAGGTGGGTTTCCAAGATTTCATAAGATGGCATACTTTATTATTCTTTAATTGAAGGGAACTAGAATTGGCAGGTTGAAAGAATTGGGCAGAATTGGTCCCACAAATATTCCATGCCATGAAAGCTTTATAGATGACAATCTAAAGCAGCTTGAATTCCACCAGAAACACACAGAGAATCAGTGCAACTCACAGAGCGAAGGTACAACATGGGCATATTGAGGTGTGTTCATCACTTAATTTCCCTAAATGAATTAATTTTCCTAAATGAAAATTCTTTATAACTTATAAGAAATGCTTTAAAAATCTTGCTAAGCTAATATTTCAGTTTGTTTTATTAGTGTTTTAAATAAGACTTGTGGTTTGGCTGACCTTTTGAAAAATCTCAAAAATAGTTTTAAGAATAGACTTCTTCCCTCCCTCCCAAATCAGTTAATAGAGTTAAAAATATCATGAGTATGGGGGTGGATGGGTGGATCTATAGCTCTGCCTGCCATAAGATGAGGAAGGATTTATCATTTAGACCCAGGATAGCTTGAATTTCTCTCAATGAAAACATGCTGGAAATGCAATTTGATTTGCATCATCAGGACAACAGCCAACATGATTTGTGTTACAAGGGACTTCAGATCATTTTGCTTGCCACAATTGGTACTTGCAATTGCTGAAACACATTTCTGTTGGCAGTTGTCAACTCAGTAGGTAGACAACTCAGTAGGTAGTCCTCAGACCAGGACATCAATTCCACATGAAAGTTAAAAATATTTTGATTGAGAATGTCTATAAAAGGAAAATCTTGCAAGTCTGATTCTGCTGTTCCCTTCTCTCCTTTTATACACCAGTGAATTAGGGAAGTGTCTGCCTGAGTTGTTTCCAAAAGTTATCTCTATTATTCTGGACTTTAAAAATGCTTCAGTCCCCTTTGCTTAGGGTTTCCGATCTCCATGAAGGTCACCTACACCATTCAGAGTAGATAATATGAAATGAGATTGATCATGGTGAACTATTTAAGGTTCTAGAAGTGGAGAGATCCACCTTCAAATTCACCTTAGCCAGAGAAGGTGTTTTTGGGCCAGCTACTACTTCTCAGGCTACCCCAGTTCACAGGGATTCTTGCGTATAAAATTGTACAAGAGAGTGCTATCTATGCTGCTTTGAGCTCTTAGAAAAAAGATGGGTAATCAATCAACTGGACAAATATTTCTGTTCTAGACTCAAATGAGACAGCTGTCTGTATTTCTAAAGCCAGGATAATTCAGAAAAAGAAAAAAATGAACACGGTGGAAACTTTGACAGAACTAACTGAATTAGTTCTAGAATCAATTACAGTGTAATTCATTCTTTTGAACTGCACTACCATAATATGAATTAAAATGATCACACTGAAAAATGGGTATTGCTCTGTAATGAAGATATTTAAGGACAAATATATTATCATGACACTGGGGGCCTATTGGGCAATCAGTAACCTCACAACATGATTGGCAATGATTGCTTAAGTGTGTGTGTTTACTCAATTTCTATAGCACTGATTTTTTTAAAGTATTAATTTCACTCATTTTTCATTGTTTATCAGTTACAAACCTACAATCAGACAATATGTATGTCACAAACAAGCAGACTTTTGCTATGTGAATTCAATCAGTGAGTGTCAGCACCAAGATTTTAATGGTATTCTGCAATTAGCATCTCTAAATTATATAATATAAAAAAGTTTATCAGTAGAAATATAGGTTTTTAGTAATCTGCTAAATAAGATTTGTTGAGTTCAATAGAATTTCTCCTTAAGAAAAAAAAAGTATCTATCTAGCACCTGGCCCAGATGTTCAAATATTTATATTAACTACCTTCTCACTATGGATGGATATTCATTAAACATCTTGCAGATTTATGCTATTTCGTGTGTCATGATTACACCTATTGAATAGCAAGGATTCAAAACCAAGTGCTATTCCCCCCACATACCAAATATCCTATAAATTTTCCTAATGAATCATTTGCAGAAATATAAATAAGAAAAAAGGAAATATCAGTATGTACCAGATTATTTCTACACATCTCTCAATTCCTTCCTATTTTTTCATATCAAATCTATCTTACATCACATAAATCATGTTTTCGTCTTGTAGATGCTTATGTTGAAATTAATCATGTGAAACAACCAGACACGTGGCCCGCATCCCGGTATCTTTTTTTTCTGGTAGACACTGTTTTGCATTGATTCACAAGTTCTGCCACTGCAACTAGAGTACTAATTTACTGCAAATGCTATCAGCCCATGAGAAGTGTTCCAAGTGAAATTGTTAATTTTATGAATTTGGCAGCCTGTGGTTTTCCCAACTGATTTACAAAGCCTCCTGTCACTTACATATGTCTGCATTACATTAGCTGTTTATTTTATCCTCTGTGGGAAAGATAGGAAAGAATAAGAAACAGTATAGGAAGGGAGGGAGGGAGGGAGGGAGGGAGGAAGGAAGGAAGGAAGGAAGGAAGGAAGGAAGGAAGGAAGGAAGGAAGGAAGGAAGAATTATAAAAAAATCTATTTTCTAATCATACTTTATGAGAAATAAATATTCTCAATGTTTTATAGAAAACTTGTACTAACTTAGTAACAACTTTGTTTTACCATTATAATCAACCAATTCCCTGCCTCTATAATGTTCCCCACAGGAGTGAAATCTATAGTTCTGTGATAACAAGAAAGATTTTTGTACTTAAACATTATAGTTTTAAGTACACGTATTTCAGAATATTTTCTCCAATTATTTTCAAATTCAAGAGATTCTATTTCAGTGATCTCTGATTTTCGTCATTCTCATGCTTGAGAGTAAGCACTACTATTTCATAGCTTTATAGCTTCTCTATTTTTCCCACAAGAGGTCAGGGTTGTGTTATTATAATACATCATCCCCACGGCAGTAAGTTTCAATTGCCTTATTACAATTTTCATATTTTCACATATTTTGGTGACTTAAAAGTCGTCCAGATTCACAGAGTAGATCTGTCTGTAGACATATCTTTAATTGCTGCTGATATCTTGCTATTATTTTCTCATATTTTTCTCACATTTGTTATTCAAAAAAATATGATGTCTGTTAACTTTCTATTTTTGCGCAATCTTTTAATAGGATATAGCCATGCTGAGATATAAACACATTTATTTTAAGTACATGTGCCTATCTTTTGGTGTGAACTATAATTGTACATGTAATTGAGAGGTGAAATGTGGTAGATAGTATATCCATAAATTTTGATCTACTTTATTATCTAATACCCCTTCATGGATTACTGCCTTGTCTTGGCGAAGGGGCTTGCATAGCTCAATGAAGCTATGAGCTATGCCGTGCAGGGACACCCAAGATGGACAGGTCATAGCAGAGAGTTCTGACAAAATGTGATCCACTGGAGAAGGAAATGGCAACCCACTCCAGTATCTTTGCTGTGAAAACCCCATGGACAGTACCAAAAGGCAAAAAGATATAGCGCTGGAAGATGAGCCCCTCAGGTTGGAAGATGTCCAATATGCTACTGGGGAAGAGAAGAGGGCTAGTACTAGTAGCGCCAGAAAGAGTGAAGCAACTGGGCCAAAGCCGAAAGGACACTCAGCTGTGGATGTATCTGGTGGTGAAAGGAAAGTCTGATGTTGTAAAGTTTTTTTTTTCTCCATAGGAACCTGGAATGTAAGATCCATGAATCAAGGCAAGCTGGACATGGTCAAACAAGAGATGAAAAGACTGAACATCGACATCTTAGGAATCAGCGAACTAAAATGGACAGGAATGGGTGAATTTAATTCAAATGACCATCAGGTATACTGCAAGCAAGAATCCCTCAGAAGAAATGGAGTAGTCTTCATAATCAATAAAAGAGTAGGAAAAGCAATACTGGAGTACAATCCCCAAAATGATAGAATGATCTCAGTTCGAATCCAAGGCAAACCATTCAATATCACAGTAATACAAGTCTATGCCCCAACCACTGGTGCTGAAGAGGATGAAATTGACTGGTTCTATGAAGCACCTACAGCACCTTATAGAATTAACACCAAAAAATGACGTCCTTATCATTTTATGGGGGATTGGAATCCTAAGTAGGAAGCCAAAAGATAACCGGAATAACAGGCAAGTTTGGCCTTGGAGTACAAAATGAAGCAGGGCCCAGGCTGATAGAATTCTGTCAAGAGAATACGATGGTCATAGCAAACACTCTTTTCCAACAACCCAAGAGACGACTCTACACATGGACATCACCAGACGGTCAACACAGAAATCAGATTGACTATCTGTTCTGCAGTCAAAGATGGAGAGGCTCTATACAGTCAATAAAAACAAGATCAGGAGCCAACTGTGGCTCAGATCATGAGCTTCTCATTGCAAAATTTAGACTTAAATTGAAGAAAGCAGGGGAAAGCAGTAGACCACTCAGGTATGAACTAAATCATATCCCTGATGAATATACAGTAGAGGTGACAAATAGATTTATGGAATTAGATCTGATAGACAGAATGCCTGAAGAACTATGGATGGAAGTTCACAACATTGTACAACAGGTAGCAACTAAAACCATCCCAAAGAAAAAGAAAGGCAAGAAAGCAAAATGGTTGTCTGAGGAAGCTTTGAAAATAACTGAGGAAAGAAGGGAAGCGAAAGGCAAGAGAGAAAAAGAAAGATACACCCAGTTGAATGCAGAATTCCAGAGAATAGCAAGAAGAGATAAGAATGCATTCTTAAATGACCAGTGCAAAGAAATAGAAGAAAACAATAGAATAGGGAGGACCAGAGATCTCTTCAAGAAAATTGGAGATATGAAGGGAACATTTCATGCAAAGATGGGCATGATAAAGGACCAAAATGGCAGGGAGCTAGCAGAGGCAGAAGACATTAAAAAAAAGTGGCAAAATTACACAGAAGAATTATACAAAAACAAGCTTAACATCCCTTATAACCACAATGGGGTGGTCACTGACCTCAAGCCAGACATCCTAGAATGTGAAGTCAAATGGGCCTTAGGAAATCTGAGCAACAACAAAGCTAGTGAAGGAGACAGTATTCCAGCTGAGCTATTCAAAATCTTAAAAGATGATGCAGTAAAAGTGCTACACTCAATTTGCCAGCAAATTTGGAAAACTCAACATATATGCGGGTCAAGAAGCAACAGTGAGAACTGGACACAGAACCACTTATTGGTTCAAAATTGGAAAAGGACTCCGGCAATGAGCGCAAACTGCGGCGGAGGCTTCCCTCTTCCTCCCCCTCCTCTTCTCGCACCCCCCTGACCGGCTATCACGGGGCCGGGAGGGTGCGCACAAGAGGAGAAGGAGGGGGAGGGAGAGGGAAGCCTCCGCCATGGGTTGCGCTCATTGCTCTGCCAGCCAGGCTTTCCAAAAGGAAGGGGAAAAAAACAGCTGGTGAAAAACCCCAAAGAGAGCAAGCAGGGCTGCAGGGCTTTCCAAGAGTGAGAAGAGACAGGCAGGGAGAGAGAGAGAGAGACACACACACACACACACACACTCACAGACATAGACAGAGAGACACACGGGGGGGGAGAGAAAGAAAGTGAGAGAAAGAGACAGACAGACAGACAGACAGACAGACAGACAGACAGACAGAGAAATGAGAGGGATGAGATGGTGATAGAGAGGGAGATAGAGAGAAAAAGAAAGACAGATGAGAGAAAGAAAGATAAGAGGGAGGGAGGAAGGGAGAGGGAGATGAGAGATGAGAGGGAGAAGAAAAAGGGAGAGAAAAAGAAAGATGAGAGAGAGAAAGATACACAGAGAGAGGCAGATAGACAGAGAGGGAGATACCTATTTCCCATAGAAAACACAGAGCCACAAATCTTGGGTAGGCGTGTCTGGGGGGGTCATGTGATAGGGTGGGAGTGGGTGACATTGAGTTGCCCACGCCCACCAAGGTTTTGTGGCTCCCAGTGTTTTGTTTTCTGTGGGAAACGGGCCCAAGTGGCTTTTTGAATGTTTAAGGTTGCCGACCCCTGTGTTAGCTCATTTGAGTTACCTTGGTTCAAAAATTGTTGCCCTATCATGTATAGTTCGGCCGATTAAAGATAATGACAATGAAAGATTTAGTAGTATATAGATTTTAGTTGTTTTGCACTGTCACCTACATCTGCAAAAATTTTGGAGATACAAAAATGCTGAACACAGTATTTTTTTTATTTGAGGGGGGGAACATTCTGAATGTTCCAAATAGTATTTTTGTAGACTATTTAAAGATAAGAATCCACAAATTTGGTTTAACAGCATACAGTTATAGAGATCCCTTAAAGAGCATCACATTTAGTTAGATAAATATTTTAGGATGTTTATTATGTTATATTGCTGGACCAAATCGTGTCACTGAATCTTAAAACTGATGTTAATAACAGTGTTTCAAATTTTAAAATTTTACTGTTATGTTAAACTATTTCAGGGTTTGGTGAATTAATTAACTGATTTTACAGGTACAGTTCTTTATCAAATTGATCAATTTTTGGAGATATTAATACCACATAAATAGGAGCCTGAGTGGCGTATAGGAGCCTGAGTGGCGTAGGAGGCTAATGCCTCCTAAGGCAGCATTTAACATCCAGCTGCCTGCAATTACTGCGAGTTCAATTCTCCCCAGGCTCAAGATCAACTCAGCCTTCCATCCTTTCTAAGGTGGGTAAATTGAGGACCCAGTTTGTGGGGGCAATAAGCTGACTTTGTATAAATATACAAAAGGATGAAGGCTATTGCTTAACGCATTGTAAGCTGCCCTGAGTCTCCGGAGAAGGGCGGCATATAAATCAAATTAAAAAAAATAAAATAAATAAAATAAATATTTTTGTTTACAATTCCTTTCATGTAGATTATTGTTATACTATTAGCATGCAACTTTACTCTTATTTTTGTGCACTTTTTTGCACTTGCTTCTTTTATTTGTAATGCAGGAAAACACTTAGCTCTATTCAAAACTACATACTGTTAGAAAGGGTAGAAGAAAAGAGAAGAACAATCAGCAAATGTATAATTATGAGTGGTGATGGGTGCACTATTGGAAAACTGGCAGGACCAAGTTGTGGATAAATCATCCTGGAGAAAATCTATCTACATGGCCACCAGGAGCCAACACAGTCTTAATGGTATATAATCATCAATTTTAGATATAAAACTGTAGCTTGTACTGTCAATGACCCCCATAAAGCCTATCCATTCTTCATCCCTTTATTCTTTCATCTGGACTACATTGTTTTGTCAATATATGTTTATGATACCATCCAACATATGCTGCAGGTAAACCTAAGTCAGAACACAATTTCTCATATGTTCAATTTCTTGTATGATTGTAGCAAAGATTTATTTGTTTTGACTTAATACATAAAAATAAATCATGCACAGTGAAAAAAAATCAAATTACTATCATACAGTATCCTTTATTTTATAATTGCATGGTGATACATTCCCAATTCTCTGGAAACCAAATATCAATACGGGTATAATTTTTAAGGTAATTTCAGTTGCAATTAATACTTACAGACGTTTCAGTTCTGAAAGTCCATAGAAGGCTCCTGGTTCAATACTACTAATTAAGTTATTCTTCAAATCTCTGGAGATAACAGAAGAGAAAACCCAATTAATGTCTAGTATACATGAAGCTTTATATTCATAGAAGGAGGAGGACAGAGAACAAAGCTTTGAAACCACCTCTGCATATATTAAAATCAAGGAAAAGATTATTTTTAAAAATTGTCCCCTTTCCCACCTTACATTAGAAACTCTAATTAAAACTTCCCATCTTCAGTTCACCATCTTTAGGGGAAATATACTATTAAACTAGCAGGGAATAAGGAGTATGGAGAGTTGCATTGCACTACACCAGGGGTCTGCAACCTTAAACACTCAAAGAGCCATTTGGACCCGTTTCCCTCAGAAAAGAAAACACCGGAAGCCACAAAACCCTTCTCGTGCCTGACTATTTCTTGAGCAGCCACAAAACTAGCATATGTAGTTGAATTAAACGTTCTGTTTTCTTTTGAAACTTTTCTTTTCTTGGATTTATCCATGGTTGGCCTACCGGGGGTTGAAAAGCTCAACAACTCGTGTGCTGGCGGGTGTCGCACATTGGCGGTTGTGACGCATATTTTGAGTGACAGGGAGCCGCAGCAGAGGGGTGAAAGAGCCACATGCGGCTCCAGAGCCGCAGGTTGTTGACCCCTGCACTAGACCAATACACTACTACAGGTAGTCCTCGACTTACAACAGTTTATTAGTGATCATTCAAAGTTACGACGGCCCTGGAAAAAGTGACATGACTTTTCACACTTATGACCAGGACAGCATTCCCATGGTCACGTGATTTACATTTGGATGCTTGATAACTGACTCACATTTATGATGGTTGCACTGCATGTGAACACCTTCTGCAACCTTCTGACAAGCAAAGTGAATGGGGAAACCAGATTCACTTAACAACCGTGTTACTAATTTAACAGCTGCAATGATTCACTTAACCAATGTGACAAGAAAAGTTGTAAAATAGGGCAAACATAACAAAGTTCTCACTTAGCAACATAAATTTTGGGTTCAATTGTAGATGTAAGTTGAGTACTACCTGTACAATCTGTGCTCCAATCACTAGCACTTGTACTGTATAGATTTATGAGGAATAAGTATATACAGGCAATGTTCCTTCTAATTTCTGAAATGCCAGATAGTTTTGTGCAGCTTTTTCCAAACCAGTATAAATTTGTGAGCCACAATACAAAAATACTGCTTAATTGTACAAACATGTAATAGAGACAGGTTAAAATATTCACATATTTCTTAGTTAAAATACAGAAAGTAGAAAGTATAATACTGTAGTAGGTCACATATATGCTTGTAAGTCATTCCCTCAAATCATTTTTTACTCCTAGCAACTGTCCCATGCAGTTTTCAGAAATGGCGTGCCACTTCCTTTTCCCTTAGAATTTTGAAAGAGGAGCTGATCCAAAATTAGCCAGTTAATTCATTTTATTTTATTTATTTATTTTATTTTGTCGAGTATATATTAGATAATATATATAAGTATAAGCATGAATTGAATACATGAAATGGATACAAATAAAAGGGAACATTAGGACAGGGATGGTAGGCACGCTGGTGCTCTTATGCACATCCCTTGCAGACCTCTTAGGAATGGGGTGAGGTCAACAGTAGACAGTTTTAGGTTAAAGTTTTGGGATGAGACCACAGAGTCTGGTAGTGCATTCCAGGCATTGACCACTCTGTTGCTGAAGTCATATTTTCTGCAATCAAGTTTGGAGCGGTTCACTTTAAGTTTGTATCTATTGTGTGCTCATGTATTGTTGTGGTGGAAGCTGAAGTAGTCATTGACAGGTAGGACATTGTAGCAGATGATTTTATGAGCTATGCTTAGGTCATACCGAAGGCAGCGTAGTTCTAAATTTTCTAAACCCAGAATTTCAAGTCTGGTGGCACAGGGTATTTTGTTACGAGCAGAGGAGTGGAGGACTCTTCTTGTGAAATAAGAATGTCCAAGGCAGGACAATTTCTTAAGTTTGATTTAGAGTAGCCTGTTACTACATGTAGGCATTGCTGCATATCTACGCTGCAAAGGGGTTGATGAGTAAGCATAGGTTGCAGATGGCTGCCGTTGAGCCGATGCACACATGTCCCAAACATGTTGTACAGAGGCGTGTGTTCTACATGCTGATTAGTTGATCTGAATTCCTGTTTTGTGCTGTTTGAATGCCCACTAGCCAGAACATTACATTTGCTGAAATATATATGGAACACCTATGCAACTTCCCTCAAATGACAGATGTATATGTTTCCTAACGTGCAATGCTTCAGTTTCAGGCCTGGTGCCTTAACTACTACACTAAACTGACCCTACACATACCCACATGCTTACAGATTATACTGCAAACTCAGATGTCACTGATGATTGATAATTGGAATCAATATATTGTTAATCATTTTAAATGATTTTTCATTTTTCATTTGATATTGTAATGAACTGGTTTTTTTAAAAAAAGAAAGAAAAACACCCCACACCCCCATACTTTCTTCTTATCCCATTCTTACTTCTCTGAATGGATTCTGGCCTATTTCAAATTGAATTTTTTATAAAATTAACAAAGATCATGGACCTTGTGAAATCCAAAACTCAGCAGATGTTTTGAAGGGAGAAACAAGGTGTGGCCCAATTTATAGCAGGTTGGTGGCAACTGCAAGGCTGGAAAAGATGCTGTCCAGTGTAAAAGGGAGCTCCCCAGAAATTCTGAGCCCTGAGTTTTATGATGCCTACAATTAGGCAAATTTACCTAAATTAGGTAAAATTTAGTTTTTACCAGATTTTTATCAGGTGTGTAGGTATGACAATTAGTGCACACATCTACAGGAGAAAAATCTTCAAAAATGCAGAAAAGGTTTTTCAAATTTGATATTAAAAAGAAAACTACAAAAAAAGAACTGAAACTACTTCTGTGAGTGTAAATTAATCCATTCCTCCCAAGAGAAATAATTAAGGCAACTCACAATATATTATAAAGAAATGAAAGATAATGGGAAAATCTGTCCTTCAAATTCAATGAGAGGGATTTTTCTTATATTTAAATATATTTTACACAGCTTTCTTTGCATTGCACTCTGCAAATTTTGTTTTTCAATCTATTTCGAAAGTTACAAGAGCTTATCCAGTTTACAAAATGCATGCTTAAGCCCTATTTTTATAAGGCATCAGTATACATATGAGAAAAAGATGAAATTCTGAGATTTTTATAAATTCTTTCTGTTACTCACTCACCAAAACAGACCTCAGATCTGTTTTGATGATGAGTAACAACATATATAAAAATAAATCAGAGTGATTGGTGTTATCACTCTGGAGCAGTCTTTCTCCAGAGTGACAACTTGGACAACTTTGTATATGGACTTTAAGATGTCTTATAAAAGTCATCTTAAATTCACACATCTTAAAGTTGCCAAGGCTGAGAAAAATTGCTCCAAGGACTACACGATCCCCATTTGCTGCCTTAAAGGGCTCCTCTAACCATAAGTGCTATTAAAGTCCCCCCTCCTGTACTATTTTGAGAAAAGAATCATGAAAATATAGCAGAAGGCCCCAAAATGGATATTATAACTCAAAACCAAAAGAAATCTCCAAAGCATAAGTGAAGTCACTGGTTAACAAAATATTTCCTACCCTTGTCCTAAATGGAATCAAAAGCAATGATCAATTCTTTATACATCATGATTTGAAGGCTGAAACAAAAGTTTGTGGAGCCAGTGACGCGTAGTATAGTAGTTCAGATGTTATGTTGAGGCTGGCTGCCACATAACTGAGTGATTCTAATCTGTCACACTCTCTCTGCCTAGTTTACCTCACTGGACTGCTGTAGGAAAAATCAGGGGAGACTCCCACAAATAGCACCTGGACCTTCCAGAATATAAATATGTTGCCATTATTAGGTGGGTAATTATTATCTTTAAACAACTTATGCTTAAAAGGAAAGGAAGAATAATGGACAATATTAGCTGTATAACTATGACTATTTACAAATTAAATTTTGATAATGATGTTATCCATTCAGTCAAGTCTGACTCTTGGCGATTCTACAGGCCAGGTCTCTCCACATCTTCCAATCTTGCACTATTTCTTTGAGTTTTTCTATGCTTTTTCTGGTGTCAGTTTTGATAGGGTCCAGCCACGGTGTTCTCTGATGGCTGATTTACTTTTATCACAAACTCTTCCAAACCTAATTCCTATCTCCAGTGAATTCCCTCTCATGACATGACCAAAGTAAGTGAGACGCAGTTTCCTGATTTTACCTTAATATTTGCATAGTATTCAGTCACTTTTGCTGTCCAAGGAATACGCAGCAGCCTTCTCCAGCACCACAAATTGACTGAAATGAGTCAATTTTCTTTCTGTTTTACTTTTTTAAGATCCAACCTTCATAATCATAGATAGCTACACAATAGAGCAAATGAACCTACATTTGGTTGCCAGGTTGATATCCTTGTTTTTCCATATTCAAATTAGTTTTAAGTAGGTAAATCACTAGTAATGTAGCTTTGCTTTCTCATTATATCCAATGAGCTGCATGGCCCAATTGCGCCTTATACATTTACTTTTGGTCTCTTTCCTTCTGTTCTTCAAAAAAATGACCCTATGCTTGTGCTTCTATTTTCCAGCAATAAACCCCAGATGACAATACATGCTTTGCTACACAAACGTAAACAAAGTTCTAACAAGACCATGCAATTTAGGGTTTTAAGTAATTGCTGTGGGGCTGCTACATTAAGATTGCTGTATTAGCTGGGTTGCTATGAGCACACTGAGCTAATTCATTCCCAGCCTCATACATAAATCAGAAAACTATAATTTTTCCACTATACACGCCTCTGAAATTTGTAATTCAGTTATCCGATAAAATTACACATATTTGCAAATGTGTCTTTAGTGGAATGTGCATTTAAAATGTGTATTTTGGGATAAAAGATAATTAGAATGATATCTTTTTATTTTTCCTTTGCAAAAACAGATGTTATAACTGTATAAGGGCATTCAACTTCACTTGACTCAAGGGACAAGAGTAG